CTAATACAATACTTAAACTGTGCTAACATTAACAGTTAAAGGTAAGGATAAACCAGAGAAAGACTAAACAGTACATTTGGCTCCTATTTATTACTATTTAATAGCACTGCCAGGAAGAACTTCATTAGAAATCTAGGATAGAGAAATCGGGTTACCAGGAGAGACGGAGAGGTCACAGTGCAAAAACAGGAAGTAGCACCAAGGAGGAAGGAATTCTTTTGTAGTGAATCAACAGTTCTACCTTTATTACCATGGGATGGCATGAATCTACATATCAGTATATTACATAAAGCTAGCAATAAAACATGAATGCAGATTTAAAAAGTAGCGCAAACCAAGTAAGATCTATAGCGTAGCTAACAGCAATGTACCAACGTCAGTTTCTTGGTTATGATGTTATTGCAGCTAAATGAGATGTCACAATTGGGAAAAGCTGGGGAAAAGGTACACCGACTGCTATTCTACTTCCTGTGAATCTACACTTATTTCACGATGAGAAGATTTAAGTGAATTCACTCTCAGTCCTTTGTTAGAGCTACAGTATCTTCAGTCTCAATCCAATAAATAAGAAGAGCGGGGTTTACTTTTTTTTTTTTTTATATTAGCATTTGAACCCAGGGACTTTGCACTGAGCTACACTCCCATCATTTTTATTTTATTTTGAGACAGGATCTTGTTACATTGCCGGGGCTGAGCTCAAACTCTCAATCCTCCAGTCTTAGCAGCCCAGAGGATGGGGTTACAGGCATGTGCCACCACATCTGGCTTAGGGTTTGCTTTTTTGGAGGAGAAACACTTTTCAATGTAGCTACACCATTATCTTTAAGGATAATAAACAAGAAATGGTTTCAGGTACACTTTGGTGGTCAGGTTTAAATCCAGTTTCAGATGATAAGCCAAAGCCAATAAATTGAAAACTAATGGGCATATATTTTACAGGTAAATTTTCAGAGCACATGAAGTATACTTTGCTTTTGAAAAATTCTTTAGAGGGTAGTTGAAGGAGGCACACGGACACGAGGAACCATGTCTCTCTAGCCGAGACTTCCTAGCGGGATAGGACATCCCTTACCTCAGCAGATCCGGGCACAGCACCAGCGCCCGAAGCACCTCTTCCACCCGCTTTGGGATATCACCGTGTGCCTCGTGTAGCTGAGGGGTACATGCCCGTGCCAGCTCCCACTCTCCCCTCCGCAGGCACTCGCAGAAAAATCCAAAAAGCTGCGTCTCGGTAGCAGTTTCCTCTTTTCCAAACGGATGATTCATTTTCCCAGCACAGAGTGCAGGGAGGTAGAAAGAGACGCGTTACTCGGAACACATTCTCAGTGGTCTCACTCGTGGAGCAGCTCCTGGAAAACAACGTACGAGTGAGAGAGACAGAAGCAAGACAAACCAGTAACTACGGGCCGGACCGGGAAAGGCGGACTTACTTTCATAAACACTGTTTTAAATCGGACACGTTACTAACTCTTCTGGAGAACTGTCGCTTTCTCCCAGGGGTAGATGCCATCTCTACGCAGATCCTACATTTGACAGTATCAGACTCTGCACTGGCGGGGGCTCGGGCTCCTAAGTCCACGTCCCTATTCCCTCCGAACGTTTTGCCCGGCTGGCTGCAAATCCCCAGGTGGTCGATTCAGCAGGAACACTCCTCTCCTGAGCCTTCCGTTATGGCAGAGGATGGAAGATCAGGGGAAAAATTGTGTCAGAAGAGCAGCGCGGGGTTGGGGAAGGAAGGCCGGGGACACTTCCTACGGGGGTCCTGGCGGGCACCCTCTTCTCTCCCGCGCCTTACACTCACCTGTTCCGGAGACCCGAAGCAATACAATTTCCAGCGCAGCCATGTTTGGGCAGGGTCAGGTGACAGATTCCGCTGTGAACAGTGGTGGTGGAGGCAGGGGTGACCAATGAGAGCGCCACTCCTATTGGCTGAATGAAGGGAAGATGCAAATTAAGTGCCATGTTTGTTTGAGACACGTGACAGGACCTCGCCCGACTAAGGAAAGCTAGGGCGCTCAGGAAGCGTTAAACCAACCAGCTTCCTGGCAGCGGCCGGTCCTCCTCAATTGTGACAGCTCCTCCCGGCAACACCTTTAGTTCTGTATTAGTCGAGCAGGTGGCGGGAACAGCTATGCTCGTGTTTCGTTTTTTTGCGCTTTCTCCCTAGCATTTATTTCATTTGAAGTCAACATTTACTTAGTGACTACCAGTGATAGTGCTTTGCCAGGGGATACCCAGTGCTAGGAGAGCTCGGTCATCCTCTATAGTTAATCTACTTGGGCTCTCCTACAATCTGAGAACTCTGCTTCACTCCATTCATTTATGGCCTCATTTTCTTTTCTTTTCTTTTCTTTCTTTCTTTCTTTCTTTCTTTCTTTTTTTTTTTTTTTTTTGAGACACGGTCTCACCATGCAGTTCAGGCTGGTCTTGAGCTCACTTTGTAGCCCAAGCTGTCCTTGAACTCACAAAGATCCTCCTGCCTCAGGCTCCCGAGTGCTGGGATTACAGGTGTTCGCCCAGTAATGGCCTCATTTTCTGACTTTTTCTTTTTCTTTTCTTCTTTTTTTTTTTTTTTGAGACAGGGTGGTTTTGCTATTTGGTCCAGGCAGGCCTCCAACCTTGCTAGCTACCTGCCTCAGCCTCCTGAGTGTTGGGATTACAGGTGTTTGCACCTCCACACCCAGCTACTGGACTATTTTTAATTGAACAATGTGCTCAGAGGCCCTGTTTTAGAAGTTGAATAAAATGTGCTTCCCTTTTTCAAGTGAGAGATGTAGGCCAGTCATTAAAATGCGGTGGGCTGCATTACGTGATAGAGACGAGGGAGTTGTGCAGGGGAGAGCAAAGAGTAAGCACAGGGTTTTCGCAAATATAATAATCTGAAACCAGGTCTTAACTGTTTGTCAGGTTTCCTCATCACAGCTGCCTTTACACCAAAACTTGCTTGGTTTCCTTCATGTTTAGTCAGAATCTTAGGTTTCTCCATGCATGTGTTTCACTTTGAATAATTTCAGTCAGCATTTCCCAAGCAATTTCAGCACCTAAATGGTGGTGAAAGAGCAAATTAAAACAAACAACCAGGCATGCTGGTACAAGCCTGTAATCCCAGCACTGGAGACGCTGAGACAGGAGGATCTCCGTGAATTCAAGGCCAGCCTGGACTGCACAGCGAGACCTGTCTGAAAAAACCAAAACAAACCAAAACAAAACCACAATAAAAACCAGAAAGCTCTCTTCCAAAAACTTCTGTGACAGGTAGTGGACTGTCTTCTATTCTCCAGAAAACATCCCTTTGGCATGTTTTTATTTGTTTGTTTGTTTTACACAGAGTCTAGCTATGTAACCAAGGTTGTCCTCGAACTCGCAGAAATCCTCCGGCCTCAGCCTCCTGAATGCTCATTAATCAACTTAAAACGCAGTTTTACAAGAAAGAAAATTCCAAGCAAGGTTTCCCGTGTTTCACACTCTCTTTGGTGATATTATTGCCCCATTTTTTGATAATCACTGCAAGGAGAAACCGAGGAGTATTCCTCTCAAAACCTTGTTTAGAGAGAGCAAACTACAATTCCCAGCAGGCTGCGGAGCCGACCTGCTCCTCTGACCACTTCTGATTGGGTAAATCGACAGGGCGATAACCAACCCGCGCTTCGGTTGTTGCCTTGCGGCGCTTTCCGCGTGGAGCTGTGTGAGGGGTGGGGAAATTTTGAAAGTTGGATCCTGTAGACCCGGTACTGGAAAAGTTTTCTGTGGGAGAAGTTGTGGGGCAGTGGGTGTGCTCATTATTCCTGCTGCCTCCCGGCCCGTGAATATTAATATCGAAGTAGCCGGTAGGGATTTGGTGGGGGGGCTCTGGCCTTCTTCGGGGAGGGAGGAGGATTGGAAGCTGCATTGTTGGAGAAAGCCTTTGTAAAGGAGGTTCTGGGTAACGTTTTCGCCTCTTTATTTCCCTCTCTCACTGCGGGCACTTTGGGGTGTGTGTGTGTGGGAGAAATTCAGGAACTGTCCCACTTGACAGGGTGTTGAAGAGAGCGGAACCTTGAGTCAGAACCCGGGATTCGAACGCGGGACCCCCGTGGGGCGGCTGTTTGACCTTGCGCGATTCTCACCCCGGTGCCTCTGTAGCCTTATCTGTAAAATGGGGTAAAAATCCGAAGCAGTGGGAACAGTGTCTCCACCATGAAGACTTTGCTTTTCCTGCTGGTGGGAGCGAGAGAGCGCAGTCTTCAGGGCTGACTTAACTCCCCTCGCTCACACGCGTACACAGGAGAAACACACAAGAGGCGTCATGACACGTTGGAGAGATTGTGGTACAGATATGTACACAGCATGATGGCAACACTGCGGAGAGGAAGAGCGACTGGAGGGAAGGTTTTGTGGAAGGAAGTCAGGCAGAATGGTGCTCGAGTAATCTTACTGATACCTTCCTGGCTGGAGGGGAGATACTCAGTGGCACAGCGCCTGCCTGGCAAGCGCAAGGTCCTGAGATCCATTCCAGGCTGTCTTCGTGGCTGGCGAACAGGTTATGTGAGGGGCAGCAAACGATGTTTGTTGAATGCATTGATGATGGTGATTGGGGACTCCGAGCACTATGGTGCCTGCCCCTGCGTGCTACAATCCTATGAAGTAGAGATTACAATTACCATTGTTTCACAAATGAGGAGACCTGTGTACTGGGAGGTGAAGTAAGTGCCAGGGAAGCCAGGACCTGAGCCTTACACTGGGATGTATGAGTGGGAATGAAGTAAGGGACCCAGTTTGAAAAGTTTTGAAAGTAAGCGTGGAATTTATTCTGTAGTCTGGTGGTGCCAGAGGACATTTTAGAGGATGAAAAGGGACCTTATAGGAAGCTACTTCTGGTAAGAATGTGACACAGACCTGACATTTTCAGGCCAATTTTGGGCTTCTTCCTGCCTGCTTCTATTGCACGTTTAAATAGCGTGCTTCCTGCGTGGCTGTGATTATTTGTGTACCTCTCGTTTCATCTCTCAAGTGTGAGTACCCAAAGAGGAGGAAATATACTAAGATGATTCTGTATCACAGAGCTTAGCCAAGTCTGTGCTTAAGTGTTTTTGGAAGGAACAAATACAAATGAGAGTAGGTTGGGTTTTTTCCTTTTTTCTTTTCTTTCTTTTTTTTTTTTTTTGTAAAATAAGGAGCGCCTAGGGGTAGTGTGCTGTAGTCCAAGCAAATGATGGGAATGACCCATCCAGTAACAGAACTGGTTATTGTTAAAGTTTCTGTATTTTCCGGTTTGCAGAGGTTTTTTGTTTTCTTTTTTTAATTGGTTGAATTCATCAGTTTAAATGGTATTATTGCCTAGAAGTACCTGATTTAAAAAGACACTAGGTAGACAGTTCTTACTGGGTAAACTTTTCCACTAGAGAAACAAATTGAAACTAACACGTTTCCATTTTAGAAGGTATGTGTGTGCATGGGCATGTGCTTGTGTTTGTGTGTCTGAGAGAGAGGGATAGAGATTTGCTCTGATTTAGAGAATTAGGTATTAAATATAAATGTGGAAATAAATGTCTTAATTCATAATTACATTGCTTTATTTCCTGGAATAATGAAAAGTTCACATTTCAACTCTTTCCAGAGGATGTTTTGCTGTCTTAGTGACGCACAGACCTTCCTTTGCGTGGATTGTTAAAGAAATCACAGCTCTCCAAAGACAAACGTTTGAGTTTAGTTGCCCCCCAGCCGGTATAGCAAGAGTGCATATAAGCAGAGTATAAAATTTTTCTTTAGTTTATGAATAACACTCATAATAGGCTGGGTGTGGTGGCACACACCTGTAACCCCAGCACTTGGGAGGCTGAGGCAGGAGGATTGTTGTGAGTTCAAGACCAGCCTGGGCTACAAAATGAGTTCAAGGCCAGCCTGAACTGCATAGTGAGACCCTGTCTCAAAAAGACAAAAACAAACAAAAAAACCAATACAGAACACTGATAATAAAATCTCATTTGACTCAGGTTTGTTCAGACTCCTAGAAAAAAGAAAGATTAAATATGGTTATGGACTTGAAGTAGAATGTAATGGTTAAGTGAACAGGTGTCAGAGTTAGACTGGGTCCACATTCTGGATCCACTGTTCATTTTTTTCTGGTGGTAGTGAACTAGCTATTATTTCTGGATTAGTTTTCTCATATATGCCCATGAGGCTAATAATCTGCTCTCCTCAGGCCTTTGAGAATATTAAGTGTGATAATTAAATTTAAGCTTTGGAACAATGCCTTCTATACAGAAGGTACTTAACAAATGTAATTATTATTACAGTGCAGTGATGAAGACTTTTTAGGGTTGCTATTCAGAAGCAAGCCTTGAAGGGAGAGCATCCTGGCTGTGCCTGGCCATCGGGAGAGATTAAATGGCCAAAACAGACAAATGGGTGAATTAGTTCTTGTTGTAGTGACTTCATTTTCTTCTCTGTACCTGACCTGTTCGTGATGAAGCAGATTATGAAAGTGTGTTTTTTCACTTATTTTTGTGACAGGCCACAGTAAACAGGGTGTGTAAGAACTACTTGCCATGGAATCCAGGGAGATTGGCAACCCAAATACCCGCCTATTCTTTTGTCTGTGAGGCCAGGCATCCTGGAAACTATGCAGCTGAGGAAGGAGGTCTCCCTGTTGAGTGGGTGACATGATCAGCTCCGAGACCTTTGTGTCACCTCAGGGGCTGCTGGCATACCCCTTGTGGGGTCATGGGCCACTGGTGGACTCTTCTCGTTGTGGGTGCCCTTTGTTATGTGGAGCTGGGGATACCAGCAAGTCAGGGGCCAGCTATGCTTAGATTCTAGAGGTCTCTGGGGGCTTCGTTGCCGTCATACACCTGCGAGCCTCACTGCTAATTGTTGAAGTTAGCAGTCAAGGTATCCTAGCTATCACCTTCGCTCACTATATCATGTAGCCTTCCTTCTTCATCTGTTGTACCTCGCCTCCTGTCTCCTACTACTGCTTGCATGTGTCTGCTGGCATCTGTGAACTGTGCCACTGTCAAATGGGGTACATGGGTACACATTCCTTTATGCTCGTTGCTGTCATTATCAAGGGCCTTGTTGAATTGCCAGGAATACTTTGAGCACCTTCAAAATGCCTTTGAGGGTTCCTCCTAGGGGTATGGAAGACCTCTCTCTTTCCCTTTTCTCTGCCCTCTTCTCTTACTGAGGTCAGGACACCCTTAATTTTGTAATAAATAAAAAAATCCAGGAAGAAATTTGTCTTGGCCATTGGGATCTCGATGTCAATTGTGATGCTTAGTTACATCCTGACCAATATGGCCTATTACACAGAGCTGAGCATTTCAGGTATCCTTAACAGTGATACTGGGGCTTGCCAGACATTTAGCATGTTCATCTGGATCATCCTGGTAGCAGATGACCTGTTTTGCTTCGGTGGCCTTAGTGCATCTGTCTTTGCTTCATCAAGCTTGCTCTTTGTGGGCTTCTGCGAGGACTGTCTTCCAAACCCTCAGCCCATGATCTACACTGAATGTTTTACACCTCTCCTTGCTTTATTGTTCAGCTCTGCTATGGCACTCATCTGCCTCATTGTGGGGAATATTTTCCTGCTCGTCAACTGCTTCAGCTACTGGTTCTTTGTAGGCCTCTCAGTTGTTGGACAGCTGTATGTTCAATGGGGAGAGCCTACCCAGCAGCTTGTTTTTTTTTCTGTGTGTGTGTGTGTGTGTGTGTGGTCTGACTGAGCTGGGCGTAGCTAAGGAGAGAAAGATTGAGAGGAAAAACTGACTGGAGACCTGAGGTGACATCCCCTGAGGCCCAAAAGCTGGCTACTTGTGGCCACAGCCACCAAAGTCCGGATAACAAGACTGGGTGGGCCCAACTCCACTGAATTATAGAGCGTGTTGACCCACATCCTGTAAGGGGGCAGAGGAGCAATACTATGGGAGGAGACTTGGGGCCCAGGTCAGCCTGAAGGTGGGAACTTCAGGATGGAAGGGAATTAAGCAGCAGAGGAATGGTGCTCCTGGTGGGGAGAGGCAGCCCTGCCAAACACTTACTTGGTAAGTTGCAGTGGGGGAAGAGGGAATGGTAGGTTGATGACTAGGGCTGGTGGTTTACAGCTATTTGAAGAGGTCTGACCTAGGATTCTCTGTAGAGAGGCCACTTTTATGATCAAGTCCAACCACCTGGCTTTAGAGGCTTGAACTGCTACCATTTCTTTCACTGGCTCAAAATTTTTCCCTGGGAAGTGTTGTATTCCTTTAGTATTTATCTGTATTTGGGAGGCATGAACAACAAAGCTTTAATTAATATGGGGACAGTGTCTCTCCCCTTTCCTGAATTCTGTGTAAGGGGAGTATCACTATCCCAGAACTTTACACCCAAATAAACAGTAAGATTGATGGGAGGAAGTCTTTTTCAGGGTCTCAGCAATGCCTATTGAAGGTTCCTCCTGTAAAGGTTGACCTCTCATTTGTGGGGTCACGTGCTCAGAGAGCTTAGGATCTCATTGTACACAGATTATCCATCTCCTCGAGGAGGTCCTGCCTGTCTGACTGAATTTGTCTGGCTCATATTTGTAGTTACATTCAAAATCCTTAAGAAAGGAAGGGAGTCTCTGGGTCCATAACAAGTTGACACCCAACCGTGCACTTTCTAGCTGGAAGCCTGTGCTTCAGAGGAGGCTGTGGGTCTCAGAACGGGCTGGGAAAAACTTCGTTACTTCAGCTGAGAGGAAGTAGCATTGCAACTAAGTGGGTGTGCTCCTGCTGCCACCACATTCGGACTCCTGCATTCTATTATTGCTGGTGTTCAATCCAGAACACCAGTTCTTGCAAAACAGTCGTGTTTGTCTACAGGGTGAAATAAGTTATGTTTACAGTTCCCCAAAACTGAGTCTGTCTGCACACATGATTTTGACAACACATTTTATGCTCAATTTTACACAATCTTCTCTTGTGTCTTACCTGTAAAGGCAAACTTTAAAGATTTTAAAAAATCATGTTCCGGGGCTGGGGATTTAGCTCAGCGGCAAAAAGCGCCTGCCTGGCAAGCGCAAGGTCGTGAGTTCGGTTCCCGGTACCGGAGAAAAACCAAAAAAACAAAAACAAAAACAAAAAAACAAAACAAACAAACAAAAAAAATCATGTTCCTCCTACACATCAGTATATAGACACGTCAGCAACATTGCTAGAAAGAGGCATAGGGTCAACAAGCACAAATGAACAAATTTATGGGTCAGATGTCTGACAGTCTACTTGAAGGATAACCCTTTATTTTGAGACTTTAAGTCTTTGTTCTAGTCGATGGCAAGTAAATCTCTGGGTTTCTGGTATGAACATTGAGTGCTGTAATGTTCTGAAATTCAGATAGATCACCTGAAATCTACAGCTGTCACTGACTTTGAGAACATTTTGTGGACCCAGATTATGTCTGTTCTGCTTTGTAAGCGCAGATGTGAGGGACTGCTGTGCAGACCTAAGCAAGTCCATCCTAGTGCTGTGGTCATACTTTCCTTTTTTGAAAACCCCATGCCAGACTTCATCCTCTCTTCTGTCTTGGGTGCTACCCTTTGTTTACACTCCTAGCTGCCTTGGGGGTTAGTGCACACCTCTTCTGCCAGCCTTCCCTTGCCAAAGGCTTGGTGGGGCTGCAGCTTCAGGAAGAACTTGGTACTTGTGGAACTTCTGTTTTTTCCATGTGGAGATCAGTGAGGACTCTGAAAGAAGAGCTGCTTCAGCCTCAGTCAGCATTCTCAAGTGGTCTTATTTTTCTGTATTGTGTGATAAACTGAGCTCTCCTATTTAAAGCATTTAAAGATTCTACAGTCCTGCCCTTCTGAGTAATTTACTATATTTCATTTTGTACATGGAGAAGGTTGAAGAATTTTTATTTTGTAGAGTGTTTTGGACAGCCCATGTCTTACTTTTCTGTCATTGCTGAGACAAAATACCCGACACCCAAAGATAATAGGGGAAAGGTTTATGTAGCTCACAGTTTGTGGAGGTTTCAGTCTATAATCAGCTGGCTCCAAAGCAGGGTGGCACATGGCAGGGGAGCAACAGTTCATGGTAGCAGAAGACAGCAAAATCAACAATTGAACCTTAACAGTGTCTTTCTGCCCCTTTTATACTCTATCCAGGCTGCTGGAGTTAGGGTGGTGCCCATCCAATCAGGGGACTGATCCAGCAATCACCCACCCTTAATCCCAGCGTCGCGCCACCAATCAATGACACACTCTAGATTCAGCCACCCCTGAAAAAACTCTGACTGCATAAGGCTTTGCGGGAACATCTAGACACAAACCACAGTAGCCCATTTGCTGTCATGCATGTTACTTACTTATTTTTTTAAGGTTCTTTTTTTTGTGGGATCTGAAGTCATGAGTAACAAGAAACTAAGACGAGTGGGTTTATCGCAAGAACTGTGTGACCGTCTGAGCAGACATCAGATTGTGACCTGTCGGGTAAAATTAATTTTTTTGCTAAGAAATTGTAGGTACTAATTAAATTTAAGTATAGCCTAATAACTCTTAAACTTGGAATATAAAAACTTAGTTTTACAAGAAGCAAAGTTAAATAATGGTGCTTTTCATTAAGCCACTTATATTCATTTGTTGAAATTCAGTTTGCTTGCATTTTCAGGGAAGAATGGTCATGGTGTCCAGTGAAGTGCCCTTGTCCCACTTACTTGGGGTTCTAGTGAAGTTTCATACACTAAAAGGAAATTGTGTAGTTACATGAGAGCTATGACTCAGTGAGGAGATGCTATTCAACATGGATAGTTTCTCCCGGAAAAGAAATTAATATTTAGGACCGTTTTCTTATTGATGGGGCCTGAGGAATCCATACAGCACATGTTGCATTTTTAAACATAATAGTGAAGCAGACCCCGCTTAGGAAGGTAAGGTTTATTTTAGGATTTTATCCTTAATAAAACATGTTTAGATGGTGCAGTAGCGCACACCTTAATAATCACCGTTACTTGGGAGACTGAAGCAGGAGTATTGCAAGTGCCAGTCCAGCCTGGGCATTTTGTCCAGACTTTGTCTCACAAAGGACTGAAGCTGTAGCTCTGTGGTAGAATGCTTATGTAACATGTGCATGCCCCGGCTCAATTCCCAGTACCACAAAAGAAAAAAGAGATTTTCAGAGCATATTATAATCTTTTTGAATTGCTTGGCATGTTAAAGATACATTTTATAATCCTCATGTTCACATTTTAATGAACATATATTTATTTTTATTTAATGAACATATTTTAATGAACATATTTTAATTGCCTCTGAAGCTTTAGGCTCAATTCTTATTACTGTAAAAAACCATAATTCTTTGATCTGCAATAAATTATACTTATTAGATATGGACAGTGATGGGGTATGGTGGCGCACACCTGTAATCCCAGCACTTGGGAGGCGGAGACAGGAGGATCACTGCGAGTTTGAGGCCAGCCTGGGCTACAAAGTGAGTTCATGACCAGTCTGAACTGCAGAGCGAAATCCTGTCTCAAAAACAGAAAACAAAAAACAAAACAAAACAAAGATATGGACAATATTAATGCCGTTTTTCTTTTTAATTCCATTATCTTTTTTTATACACATATGTTTAAAACTTTTTCTTTATGTCTCTTCAGGACTTTTTATGTCTTTCCCCACTGGAGCTTATGAAGGTGACTGGCCTGAGTTACCGAGGCGTCCATGAACTTCTGTGTGTGGTCAGCAGAGCTTGTGCCCCACAGATGACAACGGTATGTACATAAATATAAATGTACATGAATATATTTCTATTACGATTTGATTATGAAATGATTATCTTATTTAAAATCTTTTTGGGATGAAGCAAAAGTAGAGATGAACACCTCAAAACTACTGAGTTTCCTACTACAGAATTAGTCCCTTAATGAGAGCATTTATAAAAAATTTATGTATGTAAGCTCACGAGAGACAGTTCCTAAAATGTGGGAATTGTGGAGCATCAGGAAATTTTTATGTCCTTCTGCAGGCAATAGTGCTTTTGAAAATGTCATCTTTCTCTGTCAGGTAGGACTTGAGGGCCTTATGGTTAAATTATAGTATACTCTTAATTTTTGAATGTCCCTTTGTCTGTGATTTTAGACCTTTACTCTACCTCATCTATTTTTTTTTTTTTTTTTTTGGTACTGGAAATCAAACTCAGGACCTTGCGCTTGCCAGGCAGGCGCTTGTGCCACTGAGCTATATCCCTGGCAGCTTCATCTATTATTATGTACACATATTACACTTATTCTTGCTTAATAACTGAATAATGGTGGGGAGAATATGGAGGAACAAAGCTGCACCCCTGGGTGTGGGAGAGGAGCAGAAAGAGAACGAAGAAACCAACTTCCCAATGTCTACTTCAAGGGCCCAGCCAGAGTGATTTAACTTCCTTCCTCTAGACCTTGTTAAAGCAGCAGATGTAGTGTAGATTAGTATAAGACATATTTACGAAGTAGAATGAATGGGATTTGGTGATTGTTTAGCTGTGGAAGGTAGAGAAGCACAGGAAAATGTCAGGTGGTTCCCTGACCCTACCTGCCAAAGGTTCCTTCTCCCCAGTAATGTCGTAATCTACAGAACAAGCCTTTGGCATGCAGGCCTTTTGGAAGATGCTTAATACACAAAGCACAGTGAGCGCTCTTGTATGGGACAAGAAAGTTAAAATTGTGTGTGATCATTTTGTGAATAGATTCAAATTAACTTGTTACTATTTTGAAAGTTATAAAGTACTAGAAAAACCTTTTAATTTGATAGTTATTACTTTAGTTGATCAATATTCCTGACACATTTCTTTTTTTTCATGGCATATTTCTAATTATAAAGTTAAGAGGGCTTGGGCAGCAAGTTCAGCTTTGGTTTTTACTTCATCACCACTTTCAGGTGCAATCACAATATTATTCCAAATATAATTCATGAAGCCATCTTTCTCCTTAGGTTATAACCACTCTTATAACACTCTTTGTATTTGAGTACTATCTTAGGTTGTGGCTTAGCTTAGTTCATCCTTTAAAACAGATTTTTTGTTCCTTTATTCAGTCATTTATTCTTGCAAATGATAGCTACTAAGTGTGTCAGGTATTTTGTCAGGTACTGAGGTTATCATAGTGAATAAGATTGGAATAGTTCCTGTTCTCAGTTTAGTCTAGTAAGAAAAGTTTTTTTTTTTTTTTTAATATTTATTACTGTAAAAGACATATTGCCCTCAATCCCTCTCAGAATATTCTCCCTCACTTCGACACACTCATCTCATCTTTCTTGCCACTTTGAAGCAGTTCTGGAAGTCTTCTTTTGTGAGTGTCTTTATGAGGTGTGATACAAAATGTGATGACTACTGTTGCTGATTGCCATCCAGTGGAAAGGCAAACTCCTCAAATCATTCTGATATGTCCTCATCCGTCATATTCATTGGTTGTGGCACACGGCAGCTTCTCTCTCTTCCCCAAAGTCCAAATGAGCCGGGAAGATGTCTGAGTTACTTTTCTCTTTTTGCTGAGACAAAAATACCCGATACCCAAATTTGAAAGGGAAAAGATTTATTTAGCTTACAGTTTGCAGAGGCTTCAGTCCATATCAGCTGGCTTCAAGGCAGGGTGGCACATGGCAGAGGGACAACAGCTCATGGTGGTGGAAGACAGCAAAAGCAGCAAGAGCAAAAGGTAGACTTTGGTTTTTTTTGTTTGTTTGTTTGTTTTCTGGTACCGGGAACCAAACTCACTACTTTGCGCTTGCCAGGCAGGCACTGTGCCGCTGAGCTAAATCCCCGGCCCCTAGACTTTGAACAATATGGAAATAATTGGTTAGTTAAAGCATTGCTAAGTCCTGTGAAGGAAGAGTACAACAGCTTTGGAACTTCGTAAGTAGGGACATTACTTAGTTTGGAGGTCAGGCGCGCTTCCCCAAGGAGGCAACACTTCAGCGAAAAGTAAGCAGTCGCTAGTGCTAGGCTTTCCAGCTGTGACCAGAAAAGAGCAGGGAATTTCTGCATTCCAGTCTGGCTCGAAGGACAGGACAAGGACAGCCTTGGATGTCCCTTAGGCTCAATTTATAATTTATAGTTCCCAACAGCCACAGTTGACCTTGATGGTAAGGGAAGGTCTGGAAGATCCCTAGAGTTCCTACCATGTACATTCCTAACCATAGATACAGCATCAGGATGTGTCTTGGGTTCCAGGTTGTGTTGGAGTCCTTGGGTTCTAATACTTACAAAACAAAGTCTCTGCTTTCCTTTGACCAGTGTTCTCTGTTGCATTCATTAAACATGATACAGCATGAATTATTCTCTTCACCCACGTGTTTTTTTAAGAGCTGAGTAAATATACTCTTTTTAATGCTGTTTTGAAAATGAAAAACAGAAAGGATAATTTCAGAATTTTATTACATTAGAAAAACTTTAGAAACACTGTGTATTTTGCTTTACATACATTGACCAGAATGCTAGATTTTCTATCCCCACTACTATTACCCTCCTTGAACCACTATTACTATGGAATGGTTGCAGTATCTTGCTAATAGATGGGACAGCTTCCAGCATTACCCACCCTCAAGGTATTCTTCTAACCCAAACCTTTGAAATGGTAATTCACTGTATTATTTTTTAGAGTTACTCTAATATAAACCACAAGCTACAGTAGTGGCTTCAAACAAGAGAATTATTTTCTCACAGTTCTGTAGGTCAGAGGTCTGAAATCAAGGTAGAGACAGAGATGGATTCTCTCCAGAGGCTTTGGTGGTGAATCCATTTCTTGCCTCTTCCAGTTTACCAGGAGCGTTGACGTCCTTGGCTTATGGCCATTCCCTCTCTGCTTCATCTTCACATTGCCTTTTCCTCCGTATATTGTGATGGGGTTTAGGATCCACTCAGATAATCTAGGATTATCTCTGCATCGTGAGGTCTTTAACTTAATTACATCTGCAGTGACCTTTCTTATGATTAAGGTGACATTCGCAGAGAGGTTCTAGGAACTTGACGTGGATATATTTTAGAGGGCAGTTTCTCAGCCTATCACAGCTTCCTTCCAGTCGTTCTTCGCACACCACTTGAGTTTGGAATGATAGCTTGGTCGCGTCACTTCTTGTTTCTCAGCATAAACTCCGAACTTCCACAGGGGTCTTCCTGGATAGGCCCCTGGTTCATCCTGTGGCCCAGTGGGGGCGAGTCTGTGGCCCCTGTGCCGCAGCGGGCTGTTGCCGCCACTGCCGTAGCCGCATCGCTCGCCGCACTGTGCCACGTTCCATCTTTCAGTCATTCAAGTGCACTCCGCTTCTTTTTTACAGTTTTCATTGTTTTTATTTCCTCTCGGTGTTTTGACCTTTCTTTGTATGTTCTGCCATTTAAAAAATTTTTTTTAATTTTTTATTCCTTTATTTATTTATTTATTTTTATTCTGCCATCTTTGCCAGGAACACTCATATTTCTTTCTTTCTTTTTTTTTTCGTATTTCTTTTGCTTACCTGATAATTATTTCAGATTTTAGCTCGGATGCCCACCTCTTCCATGAAGCCTTCCTAGATCTCTTATTAGTGATACTATGATCACTGAGTTTCTAGTCCTATTTCATAGTCTCTGGTTGAGGATAAGCCTGTGAAGGCAGGGCTCTGTTACGTCACTTCCCCATATTCTAGCACAGTCCCTGGCATGGAGTAAATATTTATTGAACAAATAAATAAGAGGGAGAAAGGATGGGTTGGGGTCATAGCTGCTAAAATTCAGAAGAGGAGTTGACATGTTTTTTAATAGCTGTGGAGGATGTAAAGAGTTTAACCATTTTCTTTTTCAGGCTTATGGGATAAAGACACAAAGGTCTGCTAATCTCTCACCAGCTTTCTTATCCACGGCTCTCGCTGCTTTGGATGAAGCCCTACATGGTGGTGTCGCTTGTGGATCCCTCACAGAGGTAAAGGAAAAGCTTTCCATACTTTCTTTTGATCTTCACAGCCAAGAGGAAAAATTTAGTTAAAAACATAAATTCTGAGCTGGATGTGGTGGTGCACGCCTGTAATCCTAGCACTTGGGAGGCTAAGGCCAGAGGATCATTGCGAGTTTGAGACCAGCCTGGGCTACAAAGTGAGCTCAAGACCAGCCTGAACTGCATAGTGAGACCCTGTCTCAAAAAGACCAAAACAAAACGAAAAACCTACTTCATGAACATTAACCTGAATTAAATTATAAGTACTTCAAGGGAATGGTTCTGCACTCAGTACCTAGTATAGCTCTGCAGATGAAGGTGTTAAAAGTCTTGCGGACCGACCAAAATCTGTCTAGGTACCTTTTCCTTCGGATCAGTTTAGAAAATGATGAGTGTTATGAAGCAGTATTATGAAACAAGTGGACTCTTACAGCCTGCTCCAGTCTCCTCTTGACAGGATGGCTGACTCTTCCCCAGGGTGAGTGGTCCTAAAGAAGGCAAGGTGGGGATGGTGGTGGCGTAGACGATCTCGCTTTGGAAGTTCCACACCACGACTTCTGCCCCATTCTTTTCATTGGAAGTGAGTCATTAAGCCCAGTCCACATTCAGGACAGGAAAATTGCCCTTTAACCTTTGAAAGAAGTGCCAAGAAGTAGAAGACATTTTAAAATCACGACAATTCTTTTCCTTCCTCAGACCCCTGAGGACTTCTTGCGTGAAAGTTCTAAAGCATAGTTCACCACTCGGGAGGCTGAGACAGGAGGATCGTTGCAAGTTCGAAGCCAGCCTGGGCTACAAAGTGAGCTCAAGGCCAGCCTGAACTGCATAGGGAGATCCTGTCTCAAAAAGACAAAACAAAACAAAACAAAACAAAACAAAACATAGTTCAGGAAACTTCTAAATAAGAGCAGACTCTTTTCTTATATTCTGATAGTCATACTTTAACTGTAGATTTTTTCGTTGAAAGTAGAGATTCTGTTTTAGATAATATACCTTATTTCCTATCTTTCAAAAGTAATTTTAAGATTCTTGTGAACGTTGCCTAGTTGATGCCTATTAGTTTAAAAACCCTGCTGTTGCATTGATGTATCACCAGATGGCGCCAGAATCATACTATAGTACTGTTCCTGACAGTCGTGCAGGATTCAGTTAACCTCCTCAGTTAAAGTTTGTAACAACAGTAATCCACAGTTACAAACTTACTTAAGTAGAAACAAATTGAACTTAAGGAAGATTAACCAATGCATGCTTTTATTTTTAAAATTTAGAATAATTTTCAATGCTTTTTCCTTTAACTTTTATCAATTCTTTCTGAATCCAAGTAGAAGTTATAAATCTTTTTGGTGTTTTGTAGAGATCTACTTTCTTGGCTTGGAGTAGCAATACCTTGACTGTTTTCTAGCTACATGTTTTCTACTTTCCATTGTACTGCAGTCAGTCTCTTCAGTCTTTTTGGAATTTTTCAGCTGAATGTAGAGAGTATCTCAGTTAATCTATTACGAGAAGTTTTGCTGGGTGTGGTGGTACGCAGCTATAAATGCAGCATCTGGGAGGCTGAGGCAGGAGTATTATGAGTTTGAGGCTCACCTGGGGTACATAGCAATTTCAAGGCTAGCCTGGATTACATAACGAGACCCTAATTTGTTAGATCCTTCTTTTGTATCTCTGTCTTCTTGAGAAACCACTTTGAAGATACCACCATGTATTACAGCAGCCATTTATATTTTCCTACTAAACTATTCATAACTCTGTAATGTTTGTATTGTTCTTATCCTATTTTGTAAATGGATACATGTTTATTATTATGTGTTTCCTACAACAACCATTGAGAATAGTTAATGATTACTCAGTATGTCACTCATGTATAGCTCTATTTATTTTCTTTAGAAGCCACTTTGAAGATACCAAAGCACAGTACAACAACTATTGATAATCTCCTACCTCTTTTGTCTGTAACTCACTATTATTTATTTGTTTTCCTGAGAAACTATCTTGTAGATAACATTGTGTAAAACAATGACCATTGATAATTTCCTACCACTTTGTCTATAATTTGGTAAGCCCCCATTATTATGTTATAATAAATCTTTTACTCTTTAAAATAAAAAAAATTTTAAAAAGAGAGACCCTATATCAAAAAACAAAAAAAGTTTTTATGTATACATTATGTGTATAAAATCAAATATATCTTACATATATAAATTATGAACTTTTATGAGCCCGTGTACCAATATAAAAGCCACAGTACCGAAACTACTACATCCAACTATCTTTTTGTTTAAAATCTAACGGTTTTAATCTCTGATCCTGTCATTGGCCTTTTGGGAGGTAAACTCCATCCTAAATTCTTACTATTCCCTTTTGTTTCTGTTACCTTCCATTTCCTTTCCATATACTTCCACAGCAGATATAACACCGTTTTATTCTGCTGTTTTTGAACTTTATTTTATATATCTGGTTAAATCATGTATCTCTTCTATAAATTGCTTTTCTCAATTGTTATTTCTAAGATTTTTCCTTGTTGTTGCAGGTAGCAAGAGTATCATTCACTTTAAGGGACCAGGGATGTAGCTCAGCGGTGAAAGTGCCTGTCTGGCAAGCACAAGGTCCTAAGATCGATTCCCGGTACCAATCCTGCCCGCCCCCCCAAAAGAGTATAATTCACTTTAACTGCTATATACTATTCTATCTTGAAAATACGCCACAAATTTTTTGTTCCTCCTCCTGTGAGTTGAGTTGTTTCTTTTACTGCTAGTATGGACAAGTCCTGTGACAACTTTTGTATTTGTCTCTTGGATCACACACGCAAGTGTTTCTTTAAGGAAGGGATTGACAAAGTACTACTTGCTAGTTAAACGTGGTTTGCTGGCAGTGGGCGGGGCGGGAGGCGGGGCGGTGGGATAGGCTGCGAAATTTCGGGGCTGCGCAAACTGTTGACCAGGATCTCAGTAGTTCTTGGGCGGTAGGAAAGCAGGGAGCTGCGAGGGTCGTAGGGCAGGGATTTCCAGGTTCCCCCATACGGCTCCCGCTGAGCCCTCAGTGTTTTCCTGACATGATCAGGCCCCACTGTGGGCGGCGCTGCTTGCCTGGAGCCTGAGAGGACTGTGAACCGTGTGGGGCGGAGTGGAGGGAGGGGACCGGGTGAGGGACAAGCAGGGGAGGCGAGGCAGGGAAGAGGTTGAGGGAGGCCCGTGCCGCGTAACGGAGAGCCCTGGCCGATGATGACTAGACCACTGCGCAATCTGAGTCTGGGAACCAGGTGATGGAGTGTGTTGTGACAACAGACTGAGGCCGGGCCAAAAAAAAAAAAAAAAAAAATTGGTTTGTTGCCCATTTTTGTACATAAAGTTCTATTATAGTGACTTTTTTATTTTGGTTTTTCTCCAGTACCGCGAACTGAACTCACGACCTTGCGCTTGCCAGGCAGGCGCTTTTGCCGCTGAGCTAAATCCCCAGCCCCCATAAAGTTTTATTATAACATGGCAGTGCTTATTTACTTACACATTGTCTGTGGCTGTTTTGTGACACAGAGTTACTGTTAGTTGTTAGTTCAGTTAGTTGGGACAGCCTGTGTGGTGTTCAAACCCTAAGATATTTACCGAGTGCTCCTGTGTCTACCTTAGAGTGATTGGTGTCTCGCATATACACAGGTGTAACTGCAGAATCAGTGCAAGCTGTTTTTTGAGTAACTGTACCTACTGATACTCGTACCATTTGTGTGCACAAGTTTTCTTGCCCTGTATCTTCTAGCCTTGATACTGTCAGATTTCTGTTCATCTTTGTGATCTAAATTTTCATTTTCCTAATTATTTGTGAATGTCCAGGGAGCATTTGGTACTTTATTTTTTATTATTACTATTTTTGAGACAGGGTCTCACTGTGTTGTTCAGGCTGGACTTGAGCTCCCTTATGTAGCCCAGGCTGGCTGCAAACGCTTGATGATGCTCCTGCCTCAACCTTCCAAGCGCTGGGATTACAGGCGTGTGCCACCACGCCCGGCACATTTGGATATTTTATTTTATTTTATTTTTGGTACTGGGAATCAAATGGATATTTTAAAAAACAACTTTATTGAGGTAAATTTAAATATCATAAAATCCAGCCATTGTAACTGTGTAATTTAGTGATTTTTGTACATTTATAATTGTGCATTCATCACTACAGTTAAGTATGGAACATTTCTGTCATCTTTTTCCCCTTTTGTAGTTATTCCTGACATCCTCAGCCCTCGGCAACCACTGGTCTACTTCCTCTCCCTATAAATTTACCTCACCTAGACATCTCCCATAAATGTTTAGTTTCTCTGACATAGCATGATTTGTTGAGGTGGATACATGTTGTCGCATGTATTAGTAGTTAGTTCCTTGTAATTGTTGAGTAGTACTTACACATTTATCAGTTGATGGGCATTTGTGTTCTTTCTGGCTTTTGTCTATCAGGAATGGTGCTGTTAGGAACTCCTCTGTATGTATGTTGGCTTTCTGTCAGAGTGACAAAATAGCTGACATAAGTCAACTTAGAGGAGCAGAGATTTCTTTTGGCCGGGGGTTTCAGTCCATCGTATGCTGTCTGCATTACTTTCAGGCCTCTGCCAAGGCGGAAACATCATAGAGATGGGCGCAGCAGAGGGAAGCTTCCTAGGTAGCCAGGAAACAGAGAGAGGGCAAGAGAGTCAGAGAGGAAGGAGCTGGGGGCAAGGTGAAGCCCCCAGGGTACACCTGCCTCCATGACCCACGCTGGCTTCATTTTTTTGTGCTCTTTTTCATACAGCTATATAGTGAATTCTTTTTTTTTTTATTAATGCCTGTTAATTTTATGAAACACTGGCTTTCAATGCATATGTTTTGATCATAAATATCCACTCTATTATCCTTCCTTACATTCCTCTCTGGTGGCACATATACTAAAATTGGCACCATTTAAAAAGCTAGCAATTATAACGACTTTGAAAAAAGGTACATGTTGCCAGGCGTGGTGGTGCACGCCTG